TGCAATTTGCACCCCCCCGCCCCCACCCACACACCCACCCGTCCCTACATCTCTTCCACCCTTTTGAATTCTCTCTCTCCTCCCAAAGGATAGCCTACTACTACTGTAACACCTCAAACCCACCCACCCAATGTTATTGTCCGTCTTGTGTAGCGAGCGACAGCCGCTGTGGGGGAAGAACCCAGCACATTATAATTAGGGCCCTTTTCACAAAGAGATGTCCCTTTATCCGGGATGGATTTACTACTTTGAAATACATGTATACAGGGCTAATATTATGTCGTAGATGTTGACTTGGAATTTGGGCCTGTATGGCGGGAGATCAGATAGCCCCCCTCTTCTTCCTCTTCTTCTTCTTTCCCGATTCACCCCCCCCCTTTCTCCTCATCGTCCTCCTTCCCCATTCACCCCCCCCCCTCTTCAAAAAAGCCTTTTCAGTTATAAAATTCCACGTTTATTTCAATAGCAGTTCCCTTTTGTGTGAACTATATTACTTCCCTGTTCTGTATCCACGCGTGTTTGGGCGACATTCGTCATTGCTTTCTTCCCCAGCCTTTTCTGTAGTTACAATTGTTTCATTTCCTTTTCCGATCTCTTTCACGTTCTCTTCTCCAAATAAACCGATTCGTGTTTTTATACTCACAAATGTACTCTCTGGCACGTGAAAGTGCGTGCGTGTGTTCTTTTCCCCTGGGCACTTAGACTAAGACGCACGCGCACTCGAGACAGAAGTCAAATATTGTGTTGTTTCATTGTTCCCTGCTCGCTTGGTTGGTTTTCGTGTAGGCTTTACGTCATGGGTGGAGGGTGAGTACTGAGTGGGTGGGTGACCAGAGAACACGTTGTACAAAACTCTCAGTTCAGGGTTATAGACTCCCTGTTTCTCTGTCTCTGTCTTTCTTTCTCTCTGTCTGTCTCTGTTTCACTAAATCATGTTCGTTCGTTCACTCGTCTCTTACGGTACATCGGTTCGACATCATACTATTATTATTATTATTATTATTATTATTATTATTATTATTATT